ACTCCTCCTCGTCGTCCTCCTCAGCCTCCCTCTACTCACGTCCTCCCCATCTCCTCCTCCTCTTCCTCCTCCTCCTCCTCTTCCTCCTCCTCCTCCTCCTCCTCCTCCTCTTCCTCCTCTTCCTCCTCCTCGTCCTCGTCCTCCTCCTCCTCCTCCTCCTCCACAATTACTCACTATGAATACTACTCTCCCTCTTCCCGTGATGACGGCCTGGGAATGTCCGACCCACCCCCCCCGCGTACTGTTTTTTATACACAAGTTTCCCCGGAATTGGGTTTTCGCCTGCATTTTTTCAAAATGCTGCTCTCGCTGAGGCGCCGGCCTCATTTTCGGGCCCCGCTCGTTCCGAATCGTGCTCCCGCTCCAGCGGTGGCCTCATTTCCGCGCTTCCGCTCGTTCCGAATCGTGCTCCCGCTGCAGCGCTGGCCTCATTTCCGCGCTTCCGCTCGTTTCGGCTCGTGCTCCCGCTGCAGCGCTGGCGTCACTTTCCCGTGCCATACCACGGCATGCAATGCAGTGTTCGGTTGATGCTACGCTTTGCGGTGCTCTTCTACGCCATGCCATGCCGTGCTCTACAACGCATCGAGCACCCTTTCGGGATCATTGCCCTGCTCGACATCCGACTGCGCGAATCGAGGGGATCTGCGCCATGGTAAGAGATGGGAGGGGGAGGTAGGATGTCAGATACGACGCGAGCGCACCTAGCTTGTCCTCCTCCTCCTCCTCCTCCTCCACCTCCTCCTCTTCCTCCTCCTCCTCTTCCTCCTCCTCCTCCTCCTCCTCCTGCTCCCTCCTACCTCCTGCCCCCCTCTTCTTTCTTCCTCATCCTCCTCCTCCTCCTCCCCTCCTCCTCTCCTCCTCCTCCTCCCCTCTCCTCCTCCTCCTCCTCCTCCTCCTCCTCCTCCTCCTCCTCCTCCTCCTCCTCCTCCTCCTCCTCCTCCTCCCCGAGCCTGGGCAGGCCCTGGGGCCCGCGCAAGGTCCGCACAAGGCGCGCACATGAGGCCGCACAAGTGGTTCCACGAGCCCACGGATCTTCAGCCCGGGGGCCGGCGCCAGAACCACTCGCGCGGCCTCTCGTGCGCGGCTTGCGCGGGCCCCAAGGCCTGTCGAGGCTCATCCCCGCGCCCCCCAAGATCGAAAAAGACCTGGGAGCCAGCGACTCTATCCTCTCTCCTGGGCGCCTGCGACCGACCACCCCCTGCGCTGCCGTCGGGAATAGGGTTGGGGGGGGGGTCGAACGCGAGGCCTGCGAACCCGCGCCTCTATCCTCTCTCCTGGGCGTCTGGTACCCAGCGGCGATGGCCCTTGGGGCGAAGGGGAGGGAGAGGGAGTTATTTTGCTTGGGCCTAAGAGTCAAAGCAGCTGCTCGGGCCTACTGGCACACACTGGGCTCGGGGATGAAAAGATGTCGATTCAAACGATGCCCCTGGCCTCGAGCGCCTGGCTTGGCCGTGCCGCGGCTGGGCGCGGCGCTGCTGGGCGACGAAGCCGGGCGCGCAGGCGCCGCGGAGGAAGACGCTCTGAAAGACGGCGCCGCGGAGAACATCGCGCCCCCCTTGCTGGTTAGCGAATGCACGGGCCCCACGTGAGGGCCGCGCAGGTTGTCTAACGCTGCGCGGCGCTGTTCTGGCGCCGTCGTCGTTCGCTTGCGGAGCTGTTCCTCCATCTGCGCCCTATCTTGCATTGCGCGGGCGACGTGTTTTCGCAAGCGGGCTGGGTGATAGGTGCATTCGGGCTTGTGTAGACCTTCCGCCATGGTTTTGGCGCATTTGCAAGCCTTCTTCAACATCTCCTGCTGCTTCTTCGACAACGGTTTCTTCGACGTGCCGAACTCGCGCTGCAGCCGTTCGACTCCTGCCATCCGGGCCAGTTCGTCCCGGCGTTTTGCTGCTGCGCGTTCCTTCTCGTCGGCCTATGTGCGCGGCTTCTTGGCCATCCCCTCGACGGGCGCCATGTCGGCCCTCCGCTTGGCTGCGGCTTCGCGACATAACATAAACATTCGGCGGTCGGCCGCCGATGTCCTGGGTCTGCGCTGGACCCTCCTCCCGGGCAGAGCCCAGCGCCGATCTAAGAGATCCGCAGAGAACCGCCGAACGATCACATTTACGTTGCTGTTTGTTCCCAGGGGAATGACAAAAATACACGAAGCAGCCCTGGACTCTCGAGGATCTGCGGCGCGAAACTGCTGAGGCCCTCGGCGTCCAAGAACGCCTTCAACAGATCGGCCATGGCGGAATTCTCAAAAATACGGACGGGCCCAAAAGACAGCCGGAGCAGAGCTCGGGAACTCGAGCCATACCAGCATGCGGCGATCCCCTGTTCCTGCTCGCCCTCCTCGTCCTGCTTCCCTCCTCCTTCTCCTGGTCCTCCTCCTCCTCCTTCTCCTCCTCCTCCTCCGCGCCCTCCTCTTCCTCCTTGTCCTCCGCGCCATCCTCCGCCTCCTCCTCCTCCTCCTCCTCCTCCTCCTCCTCTGCTTCCTCCTCCTCCTCCTCCTCCTCCTCCTCCTCCTCCTCCTCCCCCTTCCTTTCATCCATATTGTCCTCTTCCTCCCCGCCTCCTTCCTCCTCCTCCCCTCCTCCTCCTCCTCCTGCTTAAACTTTTTTGGGGGGTGCAGGAACGATTTATTTCAGAACGTGCTGTAAGTCACCCTGATGACTTTCGGCGCTCATTCTGGGATCCCTAGGGACGCGTGCTCCCACCGCCACTGCACATAAGACCGGAGTTTCGCATGGACCACCGTGCACTCTTTTTTACCTAACAGCGAAGACTGATACGTTTCTAGTGGGGTCAAAGAAGAGCATCTTGACGCCCCAGGGGGGTCTGGGCAGGATCCGGGGAGAAGCCGCGGAAGTCGATTTAAGCAAACAGTTACACACTTCGTGGTCTTCGAGGTCCCAGAACTCCATTCCCGGGCCACATTCTGAATGCCCGGAACCAACTGTAGGCCACTTCGTGGTCTTCGAGTTCCCAGAACTCCATTCCCGGGCCACAGTTTGAATGCCCG